CTTATGTGCACACACATACACCATGTCTTACACACACACCATGCCTTATACACACACACACGATGCCTTATACACACACACACACCATGTCTTATATATACACACACCATGTCTTATACGCCATACACACACACACACCATGTCTTACACACGCACGCAAGCACAGTAGCAATACTGAAGGAGGTACTACTCTGAGGTGGGTCCTGTGTGTACACTGAAAACAGAGTTGAGTGCTATGAATGAGAATTACTGAAAAAAAGTTGGCTGTAAAGGCTGGCTGACTGATTAATACGTCAACATCAATGACTGTGGAGAGATCGGAATGCTGCAGAACCAGGGCCTAATTACAAAGTATCTTGCTCAATCACTAGCCTACCAGTTACTCTTTGTCTCACCTGCACGTCACCTAACGCCTTGCTCCTAGCAAGTTGTAGCATCTTAACTACAGATAAAAAACCGTTGGAATGCATTAAAACTTGACCCAACCCTAAGCCCGTCCACCAAAACGCTGAGTCATCAGATAGTATCTGAAGCCTGGAGCTGGGATCCCTCTGCTGCGCTGTAGGTGCCACTGAATGTTCCACCGATGTGTTTAAACTGTCTTTGTCTTAGAGTTCCTACGGCTGTGATGAAACACTGGGACTGTAAACAGCTGGGAGCGGAGGTGGGGGAGGCGGGGTCGTTCATTTCAGCTGACAGTGAACATCACTGCTCAGCTCTGAGACAAGTCAGGGTAGGAACCTGGAGGCTGGAGCTAATGCAGAGGCCATGGCGGTGGGGGATGCTGCTTACTGACTTGCTCCTCATGGCTTCCTCAGCCTGCTTTCTAACAGAACCCAGGACCACCAGCCCAGGGGGAATAGTACCCACAATGAACTGGACTTTTCCACCCTCAACCATCAATCAAGAAAACATGGTCCGGCCTTATGCAAGGGTCAGTCTGGTGGGGGCGTTTCCTTTTCCCCAGATGGCTTGAGTTTGGGTCAAGGTGACATTAAAAATTAGGCGGCGCAGCCTTGATTGATGGATGGCTTTCTTTTTTTGGCAACTCTAAAACTTCATGAAACCCCTTTTATGTTGGAGTAACCTAAGTGTGTTTCCAGGCTACGGTCCCTCAAATCCGGTTCCATCGTAAACCATCTCTTGTCCTCTTTGCATTGAGAGATGTGTTCTTTGCACCAACACTACAATGTGGTTCATTGTCAGGGGCTCAGAGTACAGAGTAATAAGACAAGTTCATAAAAATTACATACAGTCAGAATGTTCTGGAAACCACTGGGAAGCAACAGGAACCTTTGACTTTATCTAGCAGAAGGAAGATATTTCCATACAAGAGTCTAAAAAGAAAAGCAATTTGCACTTTTAAACTTACAGTTGTCAGTTGTAAATTATTGCTAATTTACACTTAGCAATAAAGTAATAACTTAGCAATAATGTAAAGTTATGATGGAAATTTACCAGAGGACCTAGAGAGACCATCTACTCCATAAAGGCTGATAGGCTTGATGCTACCATTTACAGTATTAAACTCAATGTTTAGAGCCAGGAAATGATGTATGCTGATCCAGAAAGGCTGATTTAGTCTGGCAATGGTAAGTCAAACCCCTTGTTTACCCAGAACTTTCCAGAGGTGTTTGTTTTCATTTTGTGCAAGCACAGTATGGACTGAGAAGATGAAAAATACTTAAGACATGAGGTTAGTTTTGCTCTGCTCAGAGCAGACTAAGAAAACCAAGTAGAGATGTTCAGATTGTTCAGAGCTGCCATTCTGATGAGTGCATGCTGGATGGAGCACACACAATCACCATGGAGATGGGAACAGAGTGGAGCACACTCAATCACCATGGAGATGGGGGTGGAGTGGAGCACACACAATCACCATGGAGATGGGGGTAGAGTGGAGCACACACAATCACCGTGGAGATGGGGGCAGAGTGGAGTACACTCAATCACCATGGAGATGGGGCAGACTGGTTGGATGCATACAATTTCAGCACAGTTGAATTCAAGATATGTACACATGCAAATAAATGCTAGAATACGAGAAGAGAGACGATGTGATAAATACATAAATAAATTAGAAAATATTTCTCACAGAGAGATAGATGCCTGTCAAAACAAGCTGATTTTGAATCTAATGTGAATTCTTGTTGAAAAAAAACTGGATAAAAATCTCTTATAAACATCAGTTAACTTCAGCTGGGGCACAAAAGCTTCAAACCCAATGTGAAGGCAGGCTTTCCCACTTGGGGTGGAAATGTAAGAGATGGCCTTCCCACAGTCAAGTTGGGCCTTCTCACTCTGGCCACCAACCCACCCGCCAATCCTCTCTGAAAACACCTCCTCAGACATACCCAGCAATGTCCTCCACCATGACTCAGGTTTTCTAGATGTCTACGTCAAGGTGATGACTACGATTTAGCACAGTGTCTGAGGTAAATGTTAGTAGGCTTGACCATGATTTACCACAATCTGTGGTCAATCTTAGAAAGCTTGCTAATTAGTTACCTGGGGTGTTCAAGGAAGGAGAGGAGGAGCTGTTAATGGTTCCCGCCTTTAAGGCGCCATTTGTCACTTGCTAAAGTATAGGGAGAGTATTTCCCCCAGGGAAGTGTAGCATAATGATTCTTTTGGTCACTTAGAAGAGACTTGGAAGTGAAAGAGTGAGGGGACATCCCCTGAGCTACACCCCCAGTTTCTGGTGATGGCTTTCTCGGTGCATTGTAACATGGCAGAAAGGCAAGCCCACGAGAGAGAGAGAGAGAGAGAGAGAGAGAGAGAGAGAGAGAGAGAGATCAAGTCCATCTCAGTGAATTCACTGTCTCCGTGATGGTACTAATTCATCCATCAGGAGAGGGCCCTCGTGACCTAGCACCTCATATGGGTTCCGCTTCTCAGCAAGGTTTCCATAGCAATTAAATTTTCATTTGAGTCTAGAAGGAACATTGAGCTGTAGCATGAAAGTATACAGTTGTCTGTTTTGTAGCAAAATCCCTCAGAACTTAATGACTGAAAAACAGCATTTTTAAGCTCATGAATTCTGTGGAATCCCACTGTTGGGCACATTATACAGCTAGGTTCCATCATACTTCGCTGCCACACAGTGAGGTGCTCCCTGTGTCCTATACTGAATTGTCGCAAATCTACAGGTGCCCACAGCACACTCCAGCAATGGCAGTGGCTCAGACAGTAGCTACCTCCGCAGCTCAGCTCAGGAAAATGCACCTACGGGAGGGGATGGGTTCTGCCTTACATCTAAAGAGGCTTTCTGGGGAACTTGAGACACTTAATTTCCAAGAAATTTTTCCAGACTTTTGTCAGCCGATACTTCTCAGTAGATTTACAGATCAGAGATCTATAATTGTAGCCAACACAGCCCTTCTACACTCTCTCCGTCTCCCCTTCCCCACACACATGCGCACACAGCCATTCCCTGTGTGCTGTGTTGAAGCTTAGCATTCAAGCCAAACAAGTGTGGTATGGTTGCAGTTGCAGCAGAAACAAAGAAACGAACAAAGAGATCAGGGAGAGCTAGGGGAAGCCAAGCTCTTGGTGGGGAGTCTCTGAACCCAGACATCCCTGAAGCTAGATTCAGCTCTGCCCTTTGAGTTTTCTACATCAGTAAAGCCTGTTAAGTTGGGTATCTCTCTATTATAAGCACAGATGACTTGCACAGAAACTAAAATAAGGAACTGTGTTATAAATCTAAACCTAAAATATGAAACTGGACAGTTCTTCTTATATGAACGTGAAAGTGCTGGTTAAACTATTGCCCAGTAACTCTTGGGTAGTGTCTCCACCATCCCGATGATGGGAACATCATGGACATGGTGAAAATGTATGAAGTTAATTCATCGTGCCGTGGGACAGCAAGGTGCACATCCCAGAGCCCTGCTCAGCACATCCTCTACTGCAGCCTCTGTCTAGTGAGGGTCACAACCTCCCCTGTGACCAGCTTGGGTACCTCCTGGAGATGAAGGTAGATACTGACTACTCCATTTTTCTAAAAGATGGAGACCAGAACCAAAAACGTCACTCTAAAGCCCGGGAAACGGAGTGATCCCTGTGACTGGTCCTGAGGGACTCAAATGATAAGGATGCACATCCTGATCCAGAGATGCTGACTTACTACGATCTTTAGCATCGTTATTGGCCAAAAGAAGATAATCTCGATGATATAAGCAGACTTGCCACAGAAAATCTTAGGCAAACTGTATAGGCCCTTGGCGACTGGAGATTGCAAGCATGCAGTTAGTTCTTAGCCTCTGTGACTGACAATGCTACACACTCCGTGGCAGAGCTGCCTGCCCATCTCTTAGGCGTGGTGCTAAGGCAATGCACAGAGGAGGAGCCCTCCCACTAAGGCGGCTCTGGATCATGCAATTGGACTCAATAAGGGTCCTTGTCCATGGCAAGGGGGGTGGGAGGGCTGGTAGACCTCTAGGTTCCTGTTTATTTTGCACTAGAACTGTGTTTCTCAACCTTCCTGATTCTGTGGCCCTTTTATACAGTTCCTCAAGTTGTGATGGGTACTCAACCCTAAAATTACTTCATTGCTACTTTGTAACTGTAATTTTGCTACTGTTACAAGCCATAATCCTAATATAAATATCTGATACACAGGATATTTGGTCAGGACCCACAGGGCGAGAACCACTGTCTCATTCTGTCACCCGGTTTCCAATGTGGTATAGTCTTCTTCCCATCCTTCCCAAGGGCCTGCCAGCTTTCCCTCCCTACCAGCTTCTCTCTGCCAGGGAATGGGGGTGGGGTCACTATCTTATCTTTGCTTTAGGTAAATCTTCAGTTCCTTTATCTGCTTAACAATAAGTCAACCACAACCTGTACATAACACAAAGAGCTCTTATCACCGAGGAGGCTCCTTTAATTCCTAATCCTTCAGGGGTCCTGTAGAGGCCATACTTGCTCATACCACCCGGCAGGGTGATCATAGAGGCTTACGTGTGACCACGCAGGCAGACAGACATGAAGCAAAAGGAGATGTTCATGGAATGTTTATTTTAGATACCATTTTAATTTTGGCTTTCATCCTCACCTCTGGTTTCCATTCTTTTCTTGGAAATCCAAACTGCTTTTTTATTAAAAAAAAAACAAAATATTATTTAAATAGCACAAGTCTCTGAAGTCATGAGGAACTTTTCTTCTTTCCAAAATGGAAGGGCACACGGCTTGTTTTTATGCAGCATTTTCAAATACACTTGTCAATACATACCTTATAAACAACTAAAAAATAAAACCCTTTATCCTTTGAGGTTATTGATGTTATCCTAAGTCACCAATACATCTCATAATGCCGTAAATTCTATTCATTTTCATGAATGAGGTGGGAACTAGACTAAACAATAGGATTTTAATCCCTGAGTTGTCAGTCAAAATGCAGAGGTTGCCACGATTTTTTCATTTTAAAAATTAGCTTTAAATAATTAGCACAGATCATGCTATCTCAATCAAACCACTTCCATTGCATTTTCTGGGTCAAGTTCACCCTGATATCCCCAGCTCTCCAGCCATGAGATTTTTTTTTCCTTTTGTAAAGGAAATGCAGCGGAAAGTCTGCGCAAACTTCTGAGCGCCTCAGAAAGTAGGAAGGACCATCTGTCCTTTCAGCTTGTCACATGGTTGTCAGGTGGCTGGAGAGGAAGTCTCAGCACCATTCCCAGACCTGGAAAGGTTGGGCTGGTGTTCTCACGTTGGTGTCTAGAAAGGCAGGTGCTCCTGCTTGGGTTTCTCCAGAGTTAAGAGTCTAAAGCAAACCCCGGTGCCCCTGGGAAAGCAGGCCGGTCAGACACATTAGCAGAGCTGGCTCCCCTTATACAAACTGTCCCTGCCTGCACAACCCACTCTCTTTTCCTGGTGGCCTGCAAAGGTTCTGGGGTCCACACTGTGCCCTAGTAGTAGCGGTTTAGGCTCCTGGTGCCAGGCACCTCGGGCTGCCCGTTCATCCAAATCTCCCTGATGATACGCTCGCGCTCCTCCAGCCGCTGCGCACGCTCCAGCTCCTCTGCAGAGGTGAACACGTTCTTGTTCAAAGTCCTCTCAAAGCGGCGGTGTCTGCGCACCGACAGGTCCGAGGCCGTGTCCTCGCTGCCATCCTCGCTGTCGCTGCTGTCGCTGCTACTCTCCTGGTCCTGCAAGCACCTCCTCCGGGGACCCTGCCGGCAGTCAGTGTGGCAGGAGATCCTCATCACCAAGGCAGCCAAGGTCAGGAATAGACCGATGCACACGCCAGAGACGAAGTACAGAGCAGCTCGCTCAGGGTTTTCTGCAGCGAGAGGAAGGGGGACAGCGCGTTGGACAGGACTCATGTCTCCTTGCAGGGTCAGGGACAACTTTTTTTTTTATACTAAATTTAGAATAAGTTTTAAAGTTAAAAGACCCAGGAAAGTTAGGCATTGGTGGTGTACACCTTTAATCCCAGCATTTGGGAGGCAGAGGCTGGCAGGTCTCTTCGAGTTTGAGGCCAGCCTGGTCTACAGAGCTAGTTCCAGGACAGCTAGGAAAACCAACCCAAAACCAAAAACTAAGAAATTAAAAGATAGAAAAACTATAATTTAGCCCTTCTCACATGGAGCAGCTGTGTTCAGTTAGTTATGTGTCTTATTGAAGACTGTCTTCCTGAGTGCCTGAGGTTTTTGTCCGCCAACTCTCTCACACAAGCCTCTGAATTAGAGCTAGAGAGCCCGGCTAATCGCCATGGGGTGCCCCCAGCTTCTGGTATCCATGCCCTTGGTTAGTCATCCTCTTCTCGAAGTCTAGAGCTAGCAAGTGGATATGCACGAGTGTGTTTGCGACCATGCATGAGTGGGGGGGGGAGACAGAGAGAGTATAAGAATATGGAGTGAAAAGGTCAATCCTGGGTAGCCCTCAAGCATCATCTGCCTTGCTCTTTTGAGACAAGGTCTCTTGCTGGCCTGGAACGTGTCAAGAAGCCTAGGTGAGCTGACCAGTGATCCACCTGGAGTCTCTACCTTCCCGTGCAGGAATGACAAGTACCTGCCACCTTGCCTGGTTTGTAAAATGTGGATTCTAGGGGTCCAACTCAGACCCTCATGCCTGTAGAGCAAGCACTTCACTGAAGGAGCAGTCTTCCCAGTCCCTAGTAACTGATTTCTGGACAGTATGACAAAAGCAATAGGTGACTTTAAGATGAGGTCAATACCCATCCCTCAAATTCTCTCTCTCTCCCTCTCTCCCTGTCTCCCCCCACCCCCTCCCTCCATCTCTTTGCTCAGGAAGATGAAGTCAGCTGCTGTGGATAAGTTGCTCATGCAGAGGTCCAAGTATCATGAAGTCAACAATGGCCTCCAGCTAACAGCTTTCCAAGGACTGAACTTGCCAACGGCCCTGGGGGTGAGTTTGGAAGTGAATCACCCTCAGGATGAAAATTGGGGTGAGGTATTACAAGCCTGGCTTCCCAGCAGCCTTCGGAAGGGCGGTGAGCTAGAGAGCACAGCTAAGCCACACACAGCTTTCCAAACCCCAGAGACTTCGAGGTGTATGTGTTGCAACTTTTGCAATTTATTCACACCTACATTTATGTTTATATGGGGGATTGTGGGCGAATGGGCCAGAGGCCGCCAGGTCTCCTAGAGCTGAAGTCATAGGTGGTCATGAGTTGCCTGCTGTGGGTGCTGAGAACTGAGCTCAGGTTCGCTACCAAAGCAGTGTCTGCTCTTAATTTCTGAGCCATCTCTCCAGCCATCTATGCTGTCTGAAGAGCCTAAGTTTGTGATAATTAGTATACAGCCATGGATAACTCATGCGATCCATCACACATCTAAAAGCAGGATAGGCACGGAGGAATGACCTCATCAAGTTCACTGAAAGAGAAGGCGGGCCTGGGGAGCCCAGCTAGAGAAAGACACAATTGTTCTATAGTTGAGGTGTATGCTCAGTGGGGTCCTCAGTGACCCTTGTGGTGTGCACTCAGCAGAATGAGAACCATTGAGTGAACAGAGTCCTTTTCATGAAGAAATGCCTGACCCAGGTAACAGGATTTACATACACGTCAGCAAATAGATTTTCCATATTCTGTAGTCACTTGGAAAATGAATCAACATTTTGATTGATTGAATGAAGCCACATTTTGTGGCTTCAAACATAGAAATGAGATCACAAATGACACAGCATTGCTTTGTAAATTCAAAGCTGGGCACGGTGGCACAGACCTGTAATCCCAGTACCCTGGGAGGGGAGGTAGGAGGGTCAGGAGGTTAAGTTCATCCCCTGCTGCTGAGTTCAAGTTCAAGGCCAGCTTGAGCTACAAGGCCACCCACATGCACGTGGGGGGCGGGCAGGGGGACATCTTAGTGAGATTTTCAGATCTGTGTGTTTACCATGATAGAACAACACCGGTAGGACAGACCCACTGACTTGTTTACTGATAGCCTGTACGCTGTTTCTCATCTTTTACACGTTAATGATTTAAAGATGGGTTAACAAGATGACTCAGCAGATAATGTGCTTGCTGAGCAAGCCTGGAGTTTGATCTCTGCAACCCACACAAAGGTAAGAAAACAAGACCCTAGAATCCAGTGTTCTCTCCTTCTGCTACAGCTTCCCACTATGGCTGACTGAAAACTTTGAATTCATGAGCCAAAAATCCTCCAGCCTTTAAGTCATTCCTTGTTTGTGGTCAAAGCAACGAAAGATGAGTATCATCGGATATGGGAAACCTTCCTACAGAAACCTATCTTCTGAGCCATGGGTTGACAGCTGTGATGAGTCAGCCATGTGGAGGTCAGGGGAAGTGGTCCAGAGGGTACCCGTACCCAGGTGTGAAAGATGCGTAGCTGTGTGGGAAAGCATGAGATGCCAATCTTAAAGAGAGGGGTTAAGATCTTGGTCTCTTGGTTTTGCAAATCCTGCTTTCTATTACTATGATAAACAAACAAAACAAAAAGTGACCAAAAGTCACTGGAGAGGGAAGGATTTGTTTGGCTTCCATGTGCATCACTGAGGGAAGCCAGGGTGGGAACTCAAGTAGGTCAGGAACCTGAAGGCAGGAACTTAAGCTGGAGTCGTGGAGGAATGCTATTCTCGGGCTTGCAGGCATCTCCTTGCTTCCAGATTACTCAGCTTGCTTATGCAACATTTTTATACAACCCAGGACCACCTGCCCAGGGGAGGCACCAGCCACAGTGGGCTGCCCCACCCCACATCAGTCAATCAAGAAAATGCCCCATAGACTTGACTACAGACTAATCTGGTGGAGGCAATTCCTCTATCACATGGTTTGTGTCAAACTGACAAAACCAACGAGCACATCTATGACCAGTTCATGTTCCTCTGATGACATGTGCTATCTAATGTCAGCCTGAGATAAGTCGGATTCAAAGACTCACTGATACTGGGCCAGAGCAAAAATGGAAAATTGTTAAGCTCTCAGACACAGGAGACATGACTTGGGCAATTAAGAACCTCCCATGAGGTTAAAGCCCACAAATCATCTTTCTGTTGTGCGGCAGGAGGAGGGCACTCCTATCAATCAGTCACTTCAGCCTGGGTCCATCTCAGCCTTGCAGAACCTCAAGTCCCACAGCATGTGATAAAATTCTGACGGTGGAGGGGGGTTGGAGATGGCTCAGTGGGTTGAGTGTCAGCTGCAACACAAATGTAAGGATCTAAGTTTGCATTTCCACCGCCCATGTAACAACTGAGCTGGGGGCACATCACCATAACTCTGGCCCTGAGAGGCAGACAGGTAGGTCTCAGGGACTCACTGCCCAGGCAGCTGAGCCAAATCAGTGAGTTCAACAAGAGACCCTGCCCCTCAAAATAAAGGGGAGAGTCTGAAAGAAAAAGATGCCTGATTTCAGTCTCTGGCCTTCACATATGGCCTCACAGGTGAGTGCACCACACACACACACACACACACACACACACAAACACACACGGGGGGGAGAACTGGAATGGGGCAAATTGGGGGCATGTGCCATACCCTGGATCAGTAGCAGACAGACCTGGCAGAATTGAGTCAGGGCTTAGGGGGTGGATCTCTGAAAGGCAAGAGAGGCTCAGTCTGGGTGACCCTATCAGACCTCATTCCAGTGATAATTCAGAAATGTATCACTGGGAAAAAGCAAAATGAAAATCTATTTGCTGGAAAATGAGTTCTGCTGTTTACCAGAACCAAACCTCTCCCAGGGGTTGTGTCCTGGCTTGGCTGCTCTGTGCGGAAAGATCAAACAGCCCCGTTCTCTCTCAGGCAGGCTTGATCAGCCTCAAATGCCTACCCCCAGGGGCTACCAGCGCTGATTTTCCTGCCACCGCTGCAGAGGACAGATGAGGTCATTGTACCTGAGGAGACCCCTTGTCAGGAAGCCCAGAGTCCTTCCTCTACCCACACAGTCACCAGGGCTCTGCCAGTATTGCTATGAATCTAAGGAAGCCTGGACTCTGGCTATGAGCTTTGCTCTAGGGTACGCTGTTTTCACAGTGGAAAGTGTGTGTAAGAGGAAAAAGGTGGCAGATTTTTTTTTTAAAAAATTATTTTGTATTTTTGAAATAGGGTCTTATGTAGCCCAGGCCAGCTTTGAACTCCTGATCCTCTTGCCTCTGTCTCCTAAGAACTGAGATCCCAGGCATGCACCATGCCAGTCTCATGGATGGCTTTAACAGAACCGATTTCACTGAGTTTGACAGACATGTTCTTGGTTCTTTCCATGCTGAGAAGGCACGCATGTTTGACAGTGTAGTCACCTGCCCCACCCCCACCAGGCCCCAAGCCTCTCCCTGAAGATGTCCTTTCTCTTCCACTCCTGAACTTTATGTCACAGAAAGTGCAGACATGGCCTGCATGTAAAATAAAATACCGACAGTCAGGAAGCAAGAACTCCTGGGAGTTAACACATCCTTTCCCAAGTCATTCCCAGTTCTTAGATTCCTGTGAGCTTGTGTGCAGTGAACCTACATAAGTGTACATGTGCAAATGAAGGCCTACAAAGGAGCTATCAGAGGTCTTCCCCAGTCGCTGTCCACCTGACTTTTAGAGGCAAGATCTCTCAACCCGGAGTTTGCTCTTCTGGCTAAGCCAAGTGAACCAGCTTGTTCCTGACATTCCCATCTCTGCCTTCCCAGCACTGAATGTACAGGCTGCCACGGCCACCTGGCGTTTAAAAGGCTGTGGGGATCCAAACACAGAGCTCTAAATCAAACAGTCACATTGATAGGTCAGAAATAAATTTAGAGTAGACTACTTTAAAGACCCCTGGAGAGTTCAGGCCACTAATGCAGTCAGCAGACTATCTCTGCCAAAGCCCCTGTCCCCATGCCTTGGAGACATATTCGTTACAAGACCATGGTCTCAGACCATGAGTTTTGACACAGTCACATTGGGCACATGCCCCAACACTGAATAGACACAGTGTAAAAGCTTGGACAAGTCCTTCATTTCCCAACCCATCACGAGCGGAGTCACTTTGTATCCCTTGTGATAGCTTGAATGTGAAATGTCCCTCCAGGCTTCTGTCTGAACACCTAGTTCCCAGCTGGTGGCCTGTCTGGAGGAGTTATGAAACTGTTAGGAGGTGGGCTCAGTGGGAGGAAGTGGGTCCCTGGATGAGTGAGCCAGGAGATGGACAGTCCTGTCCCACATCCTGCGCTCTTCATTTCCTGATCCATCAAGACGTGTTGAGTCAGTCACAGGGTCCTACCACCGTGACTTCTCTACCATGATAAACTTTATCCTTCAAATATGAACCAAAACGAAACCTTCTTCTCTCTTACTGCTTCTTACCAGGCATTTCATCACAGAAAAAGGAAAAAAAACCAAGGTAGTCCTTTCCTGGCATTGAACCCAAAGAATGTTCACAAAGAAATACATACTGTACTGTATACACATGTGCATATACTCTCAGGGATGGGAGGGCGGGATGAAAGCAGGAAGGATGGGGAGAGAAGGCAAAGAGGAAGTTTGATAGGTGATTGACAGGTGACATACAGATGATAATGGATTGGAAGAAATACAGATGGGTAGATAGGCGATAGAACAAAGATTTTAAAAAAGGATGGATAGACAGACAGACAGAGATGGGAGGCTCTTATTTACTGAATCGTTGCTAGGATCAGGGTAAATGTCTTTGTGCTAGTCTTTTATCTTTAAATATTAGCACAGATTTGGATAGAGGGTAAGTACTGGTACCCATACTTAAAACTGAGACCATGGGGTGCTGAGATGGAAAACCATGCTTGAGACAAAGAGTAGAAAAACAATCATGCTAACTTCATACTCGGCCTAACTTCTACTGTTGTTGGTTTGTTTATGAGATGGGGTTTCGCTATGTTGCCCAGGCTGGTCTTAAACTCTTGTTCTTCCTGCATCCAATTCCTGAGTGCAGGGGTCACAGCCATGGGCCACCATGCCTACCCAACGGGCCTCACTTCGGAAACTGCTATTGTAATTCGAGCCCAACTAACTTTTTTCTCACATCAGAAAACACTTCCTTTTACATACAGCGTCCCAGATACGGATTCCAAGAGAAGTACAGTGGAAGCAACCAGCCAGAGCGAAGGCTTTACTGGGACTCACTGGGTACCAAACTGAGGCTTCAGAGCCTGTGTAATGTGAATCGCGCCAACGCACTTTTCTGCCCACATCAAGCTCGAGTTCTAGACTGTTTGTTTTTTCTCCCCTCTAATACTTCCTGCTCCAGGTCACTTCCCGCTTGGCCAATGACCCACCCGGTCTTGACCACATGCAGACATCTGTTAATTACCCAGGAAGCGGGGTGAAGAGGGCTTTTGTTGGTTGTTTTCCTTTAATAAATAAAAATAAATGTATTACTCTATCTTGCTTCCTGCAGGGTCATTGTTTTCGTGAGCAGGAAGAGGCCCTTTGCAGAGGTTCTGAGGCCGATTTCATTTGCATGCTGGGAAGTCAGAGCAGGCCCAGGGAACTGTAGGAAGGTGCAGCCACACCAGGCCAGGCCCAGATCAGGCCTGGTCAGCTGGTCTCCAAGCCAACATACCATGTTCTCTCTGCCTGAGGTTTCTGGTCTTCAAAGTTTTAAATCTTTAAGAGGGAAGGAAATACGCTTTGGAAATGGGCCTTGAAGAGAGTGGTAGGGTTGTGTGGAATCAGGAGGGACTTGGCAGATGGCTTCACTGTGTTCTCCATCGTCACACAGACGGCGCTTTGTGGGATTCTGCCCCACACCATAGGAAAGGGAATTCTTTCACCAACACTCCAGGCCTCTTTGAAATGTTGAGGGAGGCGTCCCTCAGCCTCTTCCATCCCTGGTTTGTCCAGCTTGCAGATAAGGAATACAGCAGAATGTCCCTGCCAGGCCTGCTCTGACTTCTGCTCCTTTGGCCCTTCCCTTTCTCCTCCCACCTCCTGGGCAGTAAGCACCCCACCAAGAAGCTCCACACCCCTGGTCCTTATCTAATTCATAGCTGACTCTTCTCTCTCCTTAGGGTATTCCTTTGTTTTAGTCAACTTGACACACACCAGAGTCACCTGGAAAGAGAGAACTTCAACTAAATAAAGATTTGCCCAGATCGGGGATGGAGAGATAATGACTTTGCGGTTAAAAGCACTGGCTGTTCTCCCAGAGGACCCAGGTTCAATGCCCAGCATCCAGATGGTGGCTCATAGCCACCTGTAACTCCAGTTCTAGGTTATCTGACTCTGTATATTCAGGCAAAACACATACATAAAATCAAAATAAAGAATTGCCCAGATCAGGCTAGCTTCTGACCATCTCTTTGAGGCATTTTTTAAATTGCTATTTGATGGAGGAGGGTCCAGCCCAAGGTGGGAGATGCCTTTCCTGGGCAGGTGGGTGTGGGCAGTATAAAAATGAAAGCCGAGCAAGCCAGCAAGCAGCATTCCTCCACATCTGCTTCAGCTCCTGTCTTCTTCAGGTCCTGACCTTGAATTCCCTTGATGATGGACTATATAACCTGTAAGATAAAATAAACCCTCTTCTCCTCTTCCTCATTGCTTTTGGTCATGGTGTTTTATCACAACAACAAAAGGCAAACCAGCTTCCCTGGGGCCCAAGAAAGGAAGGGCAAAGGAAGACTCAGATGCATCCCTGACTCTGACCATACCACTGCTGGAGACTACAGCCCAATGCTTGTGTGAATGCAGTGATTAATCAGTCCCTCCAGCCTAGGAAACACTGTATGTACTTCTACTATATTTAGCTACATAGCCATTACCTTCTCCATACGACAGTGAGAAATTGGAGGGCAGAAACCATGAGTCACGACAGGTTCTCAGAACCCAGCTCATGCGTTTATCATAAATATGGTGGATATTTTAAATCATGAATGACATTTAAATTAGATCATAAATGTAACTTCTAAAAGTTCAGTTAACACATTCACTTTACGTTCCTGAGTGTATTACATGTCTGAGTGTATGAATGTGCCTATAGATATGGATTGTGTTATTAGTTAGCTTTTTGTCCCTGTCAGCAAAATACCTAAGATAAACAATTTAAAGATTTACTTTGGTTCATAGTTGCAGAACCGAAGTTTCAGCTGTCATCTTGACACAGCGTAGAATTACCTGGGAAGAGAGTCACAAAGAGAATCTGTCTAGAGCAGGTTTGCCTGTGGAAGATTGTCTTGCTGATCTTAATGGCTGTGAGAAGCTGGAGCCCACGGTGGGCGGCACCATTCCCTGGGCTTGGGTCCTGGACTGTGTAACAGAAGGAAGAGTGAGCAGGGCAGTAGGTAACCATGCATTTCTCTCTCTGCTCCTGACAGGGGATAGGATATATTCTAACTGCCTCAAGTTACTGCCTTAACGATCGCCTGTGATCTGCGACTGCAAACAAACAAAACCTTTCTTCTTCAGAGCTGCTTTAGTCGGGGAATTTTATCACAGCAACAGAAATGAAACTGGGACACAGCGGGCTCAGTCCATCGTTGCTTGGACAGAGAGCATGGCAGGGTCAGTGTTGGCAGAGGAGAGGTCACCTTATCCCACGGCACACAGGCAGTAGACAGGGAGACAGGAAGAGGCCAGGGAAAATGTATCTACAAGGACCCCCTAGTGACCTACTCCTCCGCTAGGCTCTGCTTCCTAAAGCTTCCGGAAAATGCTAAAACAACACCCCCCAACCAGTGATGAAGCCCACAGCACGTAACCTTTTGAGAGACACTTTACATCTGAACAGTGTGTATGTTGGAGCACACATGTATGTGTGGAGGTGTATGTATATACGATGAAATAACATCGGAAGAATAGGAAACGGGGCCAGCAAGTATATCAGTGGGTAGCGGTGCCTGCGGCCAAGCCTGACAACCTGGGTTTGAGCCCCAGGACCAGCATGGTGGAAGGATGGCTGTGTTCTGACCACTACATGTTTACCGCGGCATGTGCGTGCACATGTGCACACACACAAGTAATAAATCCCTCTTAAGTTTACAAATAAATAAATTATAAAGAACTTTTGAGAAACTCTATAAAGCACGCCACTTAGTTAAAGGGGACTTGCTTTATGGTTTTTACTGTGAGCCAACTGTTTTGGAAGCTCTCAGTATCTAAGAGAACAAAGTCTCTGTGTCTGTTCTCAGACAGCAACAGAAACCCGAAACTGCAACACCTTCTCATGTGTTCAAATTTGTGACTGGCTCAGTAGAGCTATGGAAGTCTAAGGCCTTCTACTGAAAGACCACCTCCTTCACACTGAGCTCAAAGAAACTCCAGCTAGATTCTGACCAACTACTGCACTGTCAAGACAGATGGATCTTCAGGTTACCAGTTAAACAAAAGTTGCAAGCTGGAGACTAGAGGACTCTAGAGGACTAGTCAGTTAATAAAGGCCATGCTTTGTAAGTGTGGGGACCCAAATTCAATCTCCAGCATTCTTGTAATAATAAGAAGCTGGGCGAGGTGGTATATATCTATAATCTCAGTGCTGGAGTGGTAGAGACAGGCAGACACTCGGAGTTCTTCCAGCCAAACTAGTGAGCTCCAGATTCAATGAACGACCCTGTCTCAGAAAATCAAGTGGACAGAAATAGTAGAAAACACCTGACATTGATCCCTGGCTTCCACAATGCGTAGTGCACACATGTATACACACTCATACATACATATACATTAATACAAACATGTGCTTATACCACACACACAAAAAAAAGAGGAAAAACATATAAGCTAAGTGTAGTCAAGTTTGGTTATAATCTTAGCAATTGGAAGGATCAGGAGTTCAAAGCCTGCCACAACAACATGAGACCCTGTCTCAAAAAACAACAATACTATACACATTTTACACATACACGCACATACATACACATGCACATACACACACATACATGCACACACATGCACATACACACATGCACACACACACACACTTACCTTTAATAACCCGCCAACATCTGTTCACAAAATACTACTAAACACAAAATCAAATGACAAATTAGAAAAGATCGTCTGTTATATTAGCAGAAACATGGGATCAACATATAAAGAACACCTAGAAAAAACATTAAGAAAGAGAACAAGAGGGCTGGAGAGATGGCTCAGCAGTTAAGAGCACTAGCTGCTCTTCCAGAGGACCAGGGTTCAATTTCCAGAACCCACATGGTAGCTCACAATTGTCTGTAGCTCCAGTTCCAGGGGATCTGATCTGGTGCCCTGCGCTGACCTCCCCAAAGCTGGTATATATACCTGCAGGCAAAACAGCCATACACACAAAATAAAGAAATAAAGATTTTTGAACAAAATAAGTAACAACTAATAAAGAAAATTTGGAAAGAATCTGAGTAATTCATGGGAATAACAGCACTAGGAATGGGTCTTTGCCATATGAAAGATGCCCCTGAGATGACTGGACCACTGTGGGCCACTGTGGGCCACCAGCTACCTCTGACAGGACTCCTGCGCGTACAAACAACGCTCCACTGGAAGCCAGGCATGTCTGTTCAGCTATGTACCTTTCGCCTGCTCTTGTGCTACAGTGCGGTTGGTAGAACATAGAACATAAGCTGGACCACAAAGCTGAAAGCACTCTGGCATTTTATAGGAAAACAAAGTTTGCTGACCCCTGGTCAACAGAAATTAAATGACATGCAGGGAGCCTTCCCCGTCTATCAGATTGTCAAAGCTCCAAACACAATTGAAAACACTGTCCCGCGGCTTTGCATATTTCTCTTTTAAAAGATTAGTAGAGCTCTTTAGGTGGCAACTTGGTGCCATTTTTCCTTTAAATGGGACGCGAGTCAGCCATCATCCTTTGAGAAACCAAGTCTGGAAATGTGCTTAAACGTGTATGCTGTCGTTACTTATCACAGTTCTGTTTGAGAGTTCTGAGCCATTCCCACTGGCCATCTGCAAAGGGCCGGCTAAGCTTGGGGCCATCTGTGCAGTGGAAGAGTAAACAGTTGTCTAACAGAACAGGGAAGGTTGCTCTATCCCGACCCACAGTGTCTCCAGGACAAAATGCTTAGTGGGAAAAGCAGAGCACAGGAAGTGCATTCGGTTCACTCCTCACATAGGGGAAAGGTGACCGGAAGGCACACCAAAGCCTACGAACAGAACTGGATGGAGGGACAGTTGTGAGATTAGACCTCCTCTATGTCTCTTCACGGGGTGATAAGGAGAAGGAGAGGACAGGACGTACTCAACACGTGCTGATGGGAGTAGGTAGACTGACCAGCAAGAAGCCCACTGAGATGGTAACATTAAGGGAAACCCCTAAAAGATCAGGGTCCTGAGCATACACTAAGGACTCATTACGTCAAAATGAGTAATTATTCCATTTATTCTTTCTAATGACCCTATTAGAAATTATTAATGAGTCTATTATTATTAATGAGGTTATTATCCTCTCTATAAAGCATCATATACTGGTTAATGAGTTGCTTGCAAAGAGTTAAGATGGGAATTGTTAATTCCCTCAATACAAGGGCTGAGGAAGAAGGACTAAAATACAAGTCAAAGAACATGAATGGGTGAGAGAAATAAACCAGTGAGAGAACTTCCCAGCCTCCTATGGGAGAGAACGCCCCAGCCTCCTATGGGAGAGAACGCCCCAGCCTCCTATGGGAGAGAACTCCCCAGCCCCCTATGGGAGAGAACGCCCCAGCCTCCTATGGGAGAGAACTCCCCAGCCCCCTATGGGAGAGAACTCCCCAGCCCCTATAGGAGAAAACTTCCCAGCCTCCTATGGGAGAGGAGAATTCCCCAGTCCCCTATGGGAGAGGAGAATTCCCCAGTCCCCTATGGGAGAGACCCCCCCAGTCTCCCATGGGTAGAGAACCCCCCAGTCTCTAAGGGCAGAGAACTCTACAGACTCATTTAGACAACTGACTTAAGATTTTACACTACCTGTAGCCAACAAATAGCATTAACAGTTAAAGCATACAACACATTTGGATTATTTTGGTAGGTGTATGCACTTGTGATGTGTGCCCATGTGTATTCATGCTTAGGTGTGTGTTTGTGTGCACACATACATGTAGAAGCCAGAGGTTAGCATCTGTTGTCTTCCTTGATGGCCCCACCTTATACACCGAGACAGCATCTCTCCCTTGGGCTCGGAACTCACCCATCTGGCCAGTCTAGCCAGCCAGCTTGCTCCAGGATACCCTGTCTCCACCTCCCATGCACCGGGATTGCAGGCAGGCCACCGGGCATTTATGTGAGTGACGAGGATCTGCACTCCAATCCTCACACTGGCACAGCAAGCTCAAGATAGCAACAAAGTAAAGCGAATTTCATGCTCACACCTGCACTTTAGATAGATTAGTCTGCAACAGAAATACAAATTATGGGTTGGAAGCAGGAAGATAGTGGACAACGCCATATGGTTATTTGCACAGATGCAAGATGAAGCTCAAACTAACTCATGAAGGAGAAACACAACTGAAGGACCGGGAGGGGTGATCGGACTGACCTTAACCAATAGCACGGGGTCTATATAGAAGACATATGTACAGGTGAAAATCATATTTCTGAGTTAGGTAAACAGAACAGTCTAGTCTAGGCTGAGCCCAGGAGGCTATGAAGCTCAAATAGACAGCAAAATGGGAATTATCTAATGTACGTCTGACACAAGTAAAGGTTAATATTCGAATCAAATATTCTTATAAGCTGCCACCAACGAGTTACAGAATACAGCAAAGCAGGCAGGGGAGGGAGTGTAGCTCAGTCAGTAAAGCGTTTGCCTTGCAATCACAAGGATCTGAGCTTGAGACCCAGAACCTATCTTTAAAAAAAAAAAAAATTCAAACATGGGTGTGCTTGCTTGTAATCCCAGGGCTGAGAGGTGGAGGCAGGCCAATTCCTGGGGCTTACTGGCCAGCCAGCTTGGCTCTATTTCTCCAGGTTCAGAGAGAAACTCTGATTCAAAAAACCAGATAGTACCCTACAGAATGGCAGCTAAGGCTGTCCTTTTGCCTCCATGTGCAAATGTATGACGCATGTACTGCACACCCAATACAACACAGAAACAACATACCAAAAAAGATAGGATATCAAAATAATATAAAAAGTGCACAGACACCCATCTGATACTAGCACCCACATACAAATTATAGTAGAATGCAGTCGCATTTAAAACTGACAGAGAGCAGAAGTCCATGTGCTATACATTATACACGCATGTTCTTTACCCCCCAATAGCACACGATTTACATATTTATTTCACTTCATATTTAGCACAGTTTCTCATTTTTTTCCATCAA